ACATCAACAGACTCCTAGCTGATACCAGGAAAAGTGACATCACCCTGTTAGCATTCTCCACTAGCTTCCTGTTTAATACAGAAATAATATTAAAATTATGTTGTTTGGTTTTGAAGCTTTGTATAGCCTTCCACCTGAAGATTTATTTGAAGTTGTCTAAGATGTCTTAGCTCTTCTGAACAGCTCCTTTTAGATATTCTACATTCTAGATTAGTCAGTCAGGGAGATCTGGAGATTTCTTCTTAAAGGGGCAATATCATATAAAATCAACTTTTTTGAGCTTTATATCATGTTATAAACATAATCCCCTCATCAAAAACATACACAGAGTCTTGCTCTGACTCATTCATGCATGCCTGTGCTGTCCTGAGGCAACCATTCAGGGGAGCAAAAATGGCTCGCTGGGCCTAGAACCACCTTTTGGGAGCAGCTCCTCCTCTGGGCTGTGTCTCCAAGCTGAGCTTCCTCATCACAGAGCACACCTCCCCCGTGACTCCTGCAGGCTATCAGCAGCAACAACTAGCAAACACCTGGTGAAACCGCGCGTCTGCTGAGCTTGTAATACCTTTCAGTCCATCCTTTTTGGATTAAAAATGCCTTTTTTTTGCACACACCCGAGTTTGACTTAATTTGCACACACTGAGTTTAACTCATTTTGCACAAGTCTGTCATGACTGTAATTTCCTGTAACTGTATATCTTTCTGCACAGTAGCTGCTTCAATTTTTGTCTAATTTCTCATTGATGGTCTGGTATGGTAATTATTACTCTTATTCTGTTTTTGCTATAATTGATATTGTCACACAGTTGTGTATTGATGTATGTACCTGCCGCTGCTGCTACACCTGAATTTCCCCAAGCGGGACGATAAAGACTGATTCTATTCTATTCTATTCTATTTAAGGAAATGTATTTTCGGATGCCAAGGATGACAAGGTTCTTAAGAAATGGTTTGATTTTGTTTTTGGAATTAATCCTCCAAAGAGAAAAAAATTTTGTGTAAAAAATGATATAGTATTTGTGCGAGCCACTTTACAAATGACAGACAATAGATTATCACTAAAAGACGATGCAATTCCAACACTCAGAATAGGGCTGGGCGGTATGACCTCAAATTCATATCACGGTATAAATTGAACCCCTTCACGGTAATGGTATATATATCGCGGTAGAAAATTAGCATAAAAAGTAAAGATAATGTAATTTTTAGAGCTTTTTTTTGCAAAAAATTGTAATCTTAATTAAACCCAACGTTTTTGCTTTAATATCTGCCTGCCATACAATGAGCTTCTGCCTGCTGAACCTATCAGCTGCTTCTCTGCTGTGCGCTCATCTTCATCATCAGAGCAGAAGCCGACTTTACATTAGCAAGATGGATTTATGACTGAAGGAACGTTCATGTCTTTTTTTATAATTTATAATACATAAAAAACATTTTTTTCTCTGACATTTGGGTGTGAAAAACTACAGTTGTTAAAGCTTCGCTCTGCGTGATGTGCAGCGAGAGGAGAGGAGAGGAGAGGAGAGGAGAAGAGAGGAGAGGAGAGGAGAGGGAGGAGGAAATGATCCCACGACACGATATAACTTTTCTACAGCGGGAGGAGGAAATTTTGAGGATTTATCCTCTCTATACGTGTTTTAAAATGCTAGAATTTCTTCATTATATTTCGAACTCCTGCTCAGTTGTCTCTGGACACACAGCCCTGTTCACACAGGTGCGATGACGTCACTGGTGATAGGACAGTAGAGGGTCGATGTCTACCATAGGCCAACTTCATACCGTTTATACCGTCTACTGCATATTCCGCGCAGACATAACTCAGAAGTACGCAAACATCATTGTTTGCCCAGGTAAGCTGAAAAACAACTCAAGTTATTCAACTCTTTGGCTTTTGAGCAATTTCATTTTACTCATGTCAATGCTGTAATTGTTTTATTGAAAAGCACTTAGGTTGATTTAAATGTGCCGTAAAAGTAAAGTTAATTTATTACAGTAGCAGGGGATTATTGGATGGCATCGTTATAAACAGATTTATCTCTTTCTGTGTTTGTTTCTATCAGATTTCCACAGTTTCTTCTGTCTTACTTGTTTCACTTCAGAAAAATGTCTCTTTTTGTCCTTCCAGAGATTCACTCGATGGGTGTACTTTTTTCCATTTTAAATGTTCGTTTATTTAGACGTAAAATGATCACAACAAGCTTATCTTTCCTGGAAGAGTGGCAGGAGCAGTGTGAGCTCATCATCTGTCTGACAGCGTAATGGTCACCACGCCTATGAGGCACGAGCCAACACCTGGTAAATGCATGTGTCTGTTTATCCATCTGTGTGTGTTTGTAATCCTGGCTGCCTTTGATCGTGATGCCCAGGGTAAAAACAGTAATTACTGATGTAAACCCTAAACGCTCTTCCTCACCCTGTCCACCTGTGAGTAATGCACCAGAGGAAGAGCTCGTTGCGGGTGTTTAGTCGAGTCAGTCAGTCGAACCTTCCAGCCGTGAAAACAACCGACCCTCCTTCCTCCTCTTCGTTTTTTTTCCCTGCACATACCTCGATCCCTCACACTCACTTTTTTTTCTCACCACCCTCTCCCCTGTCAGTGCTGCTTTCTCCTCCTCCCCTGCTCTGATTACTCTGATTTTCTTTCACCCCGTCCTACCCGTCAGTTCCTCCTTCACCTGAAAAACACAAAGGTGATTTGCTCTTTCCGAGCCTCCCTCCCTTTCTGCCTATCAGTCAGTTCCTCCTTCTCCAGACAAAAGCAAAGAGGTATTATAATGACTAATCTGTTGAGTAAACACATCTTTCCCTAAATACAAGCTGCTTCTTTCTTTTTCCCCTAAATGTACTTCCCAAAAGCTCTTTTCTTCTCACCCACTTTGTTCCTGAACATTTGTCCTGTCTGCTGACCTGTGTCATCTGCTTTTAGCCTTTCTCACCTGTTTGTTGACTCTCTGATTATATCTCTGCCTATCTTCCTCACCCTCAGGTTTTCTACTTATCAGATCACATTCTGCTAGGGTTTTTCCCCATAAACCCTTTTATCTTGTTTTTTTCCCTGTTTGACGTGACGCTTCGTTCCACATTTGAAATATATTTTTTTCCCATTTCGAATTGATCCTGGCCTTCTGACTAATTTGTCTGTTCTTCCCAACACCTCTGCAGATGAAAGACTGTTCCCCGTAAATATAAGGTCAGCCCTAAAGTGCTGCACTATCATTACCACAAGCTAAGCTTCCGCTGCTACCACAGCACCCAGCCTGTCATTAGTCAGCTAACCTGTTAGCGTTGTGCTAGCTGTTAATAATCAGCACAAGTCTTCACTGTTTTTATTTGCTGGAGATATGATTTGAGCTAGGAATTAAGAAGAAGTCACTGCAAGCATGCCTTGATTTGAGCCACGTTTATCTGTTTTTGACCATTTTTGTTACGCTCAGTCAAATCAGTCTATGCTTTGTGCCAGAAATAAACACCTCAGCAGACACCATGTTGATGGACAATTTTGATGTCAACTTTTGGTCAGCAATTTGTTTTTTTCATATAAATAATTTTAGCATGTTTTAAACAAATTGTCACAAATTCTTAAGCAGACACCTCCCGTTGATGCACGATTTATCATGCTGACAAATAAAAAGTTGTTATTTTTTAAATTTGGCAATACTTTCAAACTTTTTTGTACTTTTTAGTACATTTGTGAATATTATCAACTGTCATTTAAATAAAAAATGTGCTTATCCTCAAAAAAAAAAACAAGATAAATTGTCATCATTGTAATCTAATAAACATTTTTATGTGCATTTTGAAGGTTGGTGTTTAAAATCTTGACCTGTAATTTTTTTATGCTCTCTTGAAGCTTTAGCATTTTTTAAAAAAATGTCAAAAGGTAGAGTGAACGTGAGCAGAGACAGAAACACGTCAAACGGTTTGATGAAGCAAACGTTTTACTCTCTTGAAGGACCACAGAAATTTGACCTAATTTTTGTAAAGTGGACAGGCTTAGTTTGTGTTCGATTCTTCTAGATTTCTTTTTTGTTTTACAGTCACATTAAAAAAACATGTGCAATGTAGCCTATACTGCCATATACAGAAAACAATGCAGCCTCTGAAGATATGTCAAATGTTGTCTTAAAAGTTGCTTAACAACCTTAGAACTATTGTTAAAAAATACAATATAAATATTTATTTCCTATTGTAGAATTGTAAACTTTTAAGGACTTTAAAACACATCTATTTGTTTATAGCTTTGTGGTTTGGATCATTATTTTGATTGTGATGCAGACGAACACTTGATATTATTTCTGTACAATTTCTGCATAAAATAGGATGGATATTTAGCGCTATATTAATTGGACAATAAAAAGGAAATCTGCATGTGATCTAACACCAAAAGCCACAACATGGCACAGATACATGGACAAAGCAGTATGAAAACGTAAAGGTAAAATTACAAATGTTATTTACCGGTAGTAAGAACATGTGCAGGAAAACCTATTTCTGTAATTATCATGATTTTATTTGTTTTTTAGAATAAAACAACAGAACGTGCTGAAATGGAAAAGACAATTCAAACATTTCGAGTTTGATTCGATTGCTTCTCATGAACTTGTTTGATAAATCCACACTGGAACAATATATTTAGATATTTAGAAAAAAAGAGTAAACAATATTTTATGATTTTATCAAGCCAAAGCACCAATAAAAAATAGACTATTTGTTTTCAATATACCCTAATAAATATGTTTTTTACTCCTGCTTCTGTTTTAAAAATTAAAAACTGAGCACTTACGGATTATTTGATTAATTTTGATCAGTGCTTATGTGCTAATTAAACTTTTATTCTGAAGGAAACATTTTATGTTCTTCTGACCAAACAGAAAACAGCAACTCTGAATTTCTCTGGCTCAGTGGGGACATTTGAAGCAAATACAACTCAACAGAACTACGTGAAGAAACAAAACGAGGGATGAACAATGGAGGAATGAAGGGACAACACATCAGTGTACCTCCGCCAGGTCAGAAAAGAGGACTTGACTGGCGCCTCGCCTCAAAACGTCCCAGTAACTCCGTGCCACAAACTCCTGACTGTCTTTTTTTAGCACCTGTAGAAGCAGCAGGGCCAGAATCAGTTCACTGGCCCCTCAATCAAGGTCAGGTTTCAACATGCATTTTGTTTCTTTTAAATTATTTTTAACATATTCACAAAATGTTTTCTAATTTGTAAACCAAACCAAACATTACTAGGTATTAATAAATAGAGTCACATATGGGATTTTTACTGAAACTGTACAGTTATACCCAATCAAAACTGCAAACAACCTACAAATTAGTATTTATCTTAATAATTTTAGATGCTAAACATACAAATAAACATTAATGAGAAAACTGACTAAGGAAGGAAGAACAAGACTACAAACCCTTAATTTATATTAAATTGATTATCATTGATAAAACATGTTAAATTTGCAACAAAATTCCAACAAAATGGATGTGTATTAAAACTACAATTTTATAATTTGTACTGAGCGCTGTCATTCATTTTTGTCCATGCAATTACTGAGCAAAAACACAGGTTTTAGCTAACATTTAGCTAAATTTGAGCTAAATATATTTTTAAAAGTCTTGAAAATAAACCCATTTTATTTTTTTTAGAATGAATAATGTTGCAGCACCAACAGACCGTACTCCTATGGTGACATAAAAGCAACCAAAGGTTCGAACGTCTGACCACCCACCTCGCCTCCTCTCTCAGGGGAGAATCCCATAGCAGCGGTTTTTAACATGACCCTGCACAACTCTTAACTTCACTGTGACAATGGAGCTATCCATCACAACTCTGATAGGACAAGTTGTGTATGTGTGTGAGAAAACAACACAGGAAACAGCCAGAGAGACACTGGTGGCAACTATAGACTTTTATTCCATATATCGTAACTTCAAAATAAATGTTAAGTTTTACCAAAGTTAAACTTTCTAAATCTCTTCCTTTGCTCTTAATCAGACTGCTGGAGTGATTTTTATGGGATAAACCTTTTGCCAGCGGGAATTGAATTTGAATTGCTCMRAWTGAATCTGWATGTGCATAATTTGAAATTGAATGCATTGGTTTGAAAATGAATTTTACTAAATTGAAACTAAATTTAATGGTTTGAAACCAAATTTAAAGTTTTGAATTTGAATTAATTTGCTTTGAAACTGTATTTTGGTTTATTAAAAATTCAGTTTGACTACTTTCACTTTCAGTTCCATAATTCAGATGTTTGTGTCACATCCTGGTCCTTGAGAAAGCCAGGCAGAGTAATCAAACACAGATCCACAGATTTATGTTTCACTTTGGTGAAGTTTCCCTTCTGTAATGTAACAGAGTTGATGCAATCCACTGTAAAAGTGACAAAAACAGACAAAGTTATTTTATTGCAGTGATTAATTTGACCTATATGTAGAAAATGTTATATTTACATCACATCATGGATCACATGTTGATCAGATGCTGCTGCTGACTGATCCATGATGTGATGTAAATGTAACATTTTCCACATATAGATCAAATTAATCACTGCAATAAAATAACTTTGTTTTTGTCACTTTTACAGTGGATTGCATCGACTCTGTTACATTACAGAAGGGAAACTTCACCAAAGTGAAACATAAATCTGTGGATTTGTGTTTGATTACTCTGGCTGGCTTTCTCAAGGACCAGGATGTGACACAAAAATCTGAATTTTGGAACTGAAAGTGAAAGTAGTCAAACTGAATTTTTAATAAAGCAAAATACAGTTTCGAAGCAAATTAATTCAAATACAAAACTTTAAATTCAGTTTCAATTTAGTGAAATTTAATTTCAGACCAATGCATTGAATTTGAAATTATGCACATTCAGATTCAATCTGAGCAATTCAAATTCACTTCCTGCTGGCACAAGATTGATCCAATAGGATTTTATTGTTATACACATTGAGTATTTAAGAAATTTAGTTTGCTCTTAAATAAAATCCCAAAACACAAAAATGTGACCTTCCCCACATACACACGCACATAACGAGCATCAGTCATAAAATGGTCTAAAACAGAAAGAACCGGATTGTGTTTTTAAGCTTTGGAGCATCTCAGATAATTGAAAATCACATCACTCTCTTTTAGTAGGAGTTCATCTCTGTTGACCTCTTAAATCTATTACTCTTCTTCTGCTATTCTCCTGTCCATTTAACCAACCGCCTCCACCATCGCCAGATAAATCAATCATCTGACCCGACAGATGGACACCCAATCGCAAATGTTTCTCTGACCCTCTCTCTTCACGTATTTCCTTTCATCCGTCCCTTTGTGGAGCCGACAGAGTACGTTTTTACTGATAACAGAGGATCAGGTGGACTGCTCAGGGGTTAAGGCTTATTCAATGCCAGGTCAGTGATTGACTACCATTGATATTTACACCACTACCAGAACTCAAACAACCCAGAGAATCCAGACAAGAAATAATTGTTTGTTTGTCAGATTCAATGTGGTTATTGTTATTTCTTTACCAGATCATAGCCACATTTATTTGAAGAATCATTTTGCTCAAGATTCTGGCTTTTTTAACCTATGAATTGTCATGTTTTATTAAATCACACTGTCCCATTTTAAATAAATGAACAAACAATAAATGATTCTTTTCACAGTCTGTCTTACTTCATGAGTCATGAGTCTGTCCCCACATCAGAAGGTCCAGTACACCACATTGTGTCTTCATTGGCAGTTCGTTTTTTAACCACACATCTTGAGCTGTGCAGCACTGACTGGATGTGATGGGTGACCATTGTTTTTTTTTTGTTTTGTTTTGTTTTATCTGACTGTTGCATTAACACTGTATGAAACTGAACTACCAGGGCTGAAGTTGATGATTCTCTTTGTTTTAAGCTATAGTTTCCTCTCAACACTGATGGATCAAGCTGCTGTGTTTCCTCATAAAACAGTAAAGTTTTGTGCCGTGGCTCAGTTATATCTGATAAAAAGTACAAAAAACAAAAATAAAAATAAACTGTAGATCTAAGTCAAGTCATATTGTGTGATGGAAAAGAGCCAAAAGTAACACTTTTGGACACGCATGGAATCAACTCTGTGATGACAACTTTCCCTTGAATGGCGTAAAGTTACAGATCTTCGTGACACACAGTGTTTTTGTTCTTAGAACTTTAGATTTATTATGTACTTGTCTAACATCATAAAGATGTAGATAAGTTAGAGAAGAAAACCTTATGAGCGTTTTGACTTTGCCAAACTTTTGTATACAGAAGAAAAGCTGTTATGGACACTGCATGAAAATGGAACTGATAAAAAGACATGTCCTCTGTAAACGTCAGTGAATATTTTACACATATGAACAAGCTTCCCTATTTCATAAACCTTAAAGGTCACAGGATCTTATAATTTTAGATTGTATAAAACTTGCAAACGTAAACAAATTGGGTGTTATTTTATGTTTAGGAAACTTTTAACCAACTTTGAATTAAAACACACACACAAAGAAAATAGTCTACTAATTCAGAAACTAAAAGGGAACAACTTGATGTAAAATTAGACACTATTTGATAAACATTTACTTCAACTATAAAAACAAGACTAAAAATACAGCAGATAGAGGTGGGCGGATCGGTCTTAAAATCGATAATATCGATACCAACGCTAGTATTGATATTGAACGATACTTGTGTAAAAAGATTGATACTCAAGCCTTTTTTCTTTTTCTAACAATAGGTCGCCCTCTACCTCAAGAGAATTTGTTTTAAGTTGTGTTGTGGGATTTTTTTTTTTTGCACTCTGTTTATTTAAGAAAAACAGAATTGCACTAAAAGGAAGAAAATTCTTTATTTTTTTATTGTTTTTCATAAGAAAATTCTATTTGAAAAAAGAAACAAAGAAACAAAGAACTAGAAAAAATGACTATTGAGGGGAGAACTTTTGTTTTATTTGTGTATTGTGGATACTCTTTTTCTACCTCAAAAAAGATTCATTTTCCTATTGTTAAGGGAAACTTTGTTTTGTTACTGTTCCATTGGGCCTCATGCAAGAACATGTTCGTATTCTTATCCTAAATTTCTCTTACTTTTGTTCGTACAAAGGGTTCGTACGAACATGTCACGTCAGATTCAACAAACTCTTCTATCTTCAGGAAAAGTGTGTAAATGAGCTGCGTAAATTCCACCTGTTCGTATCCAGCTGCTCGTGTACTCAGACCAGTAATATTTGGGGTCACAAGTTTTTGCCATGGATATTTTGTGGGTCAGAAGACAAAAAGTTTGGGAACCACTGTATTAATATACTGTATATATGGCATTAGCACCACGGCTGATTTACTATCATGTCTCATTTTATTGTTTCAACACATGTATATATTGTGCAGAACACATAAACTAATACAAAATATAACTTTATTGTCACACATTATAGCTTCTTAGCCTGGACCTGTTTTAGTCTCAACTGTAACCTATCATCATCATTCCCAGAATGCATTGCATCAGTACCAGAATGTGACTAATTGAAAAATCTAATAAACAAATGCATTTTAAAGGATGTTTTCACGTGTTACAAACAACTATAATAGAACTATAATAGAATAAAGAAATAACATACTAAGAGGAACGTACAAGAAGTCGAAGATCTCTTTAAATAGTTTAAGTAACCGTTACTTTAAATGTTTATACAGTGTCAGCAGCATGATATATTCCTCACTGGCTGGTATAATTTGGCTTCATTTCGCACCTAAACTGAAATGTGCATATTAACCTCTCTGACAGACCCTACCAGTTCTCTACTGTGGGATTCAAATGGTTCTGTTTCATACCCGCCCCCGCAAAATTGAGACTGGTTTAGAATACATACGCTGTTCATGGGGGCAACCTGATATCCATACAGCTGCATACTCTAACACAGAGAGAGATGAGGAAGAAAAAGAAGAGGACATAGCATGCAGTCAGACAGGAAGAAGAGGAGAGAAGTTAAACACATGTTAGTACATGCAAGGAAGGAGGATGCGTCACTTTACTACGCACCTGAGATTACTTATTAGACAATGTGACAACTTGCATTGCAACACTGAGCTTGGCATTTTTCTGAGATAATTTTCTAAGACTCACGTGAAAAATAAAAACTCTAAAGACTTTCTTTAACGTTAAAAGGAATTACAATTGAAACGTTTTCTGGTAAATGAAAGTTGTTAATTGTGAGGAAGATTTTTTGTGTTTCTATATGTGGAGTAAAAATGAGGAATAATTTGAGTTCGGAGTTGAAGCAATGTCCAAACATAAAAGGGTTGAAAAGACAGAATAAATATTTTTTTTTCATTAATATTGTGTATATGTCTATTGCTTACATTAATGGCTGTATTAATAAGCAATTAGAAAGAAAAAAATTGTATAGGTCTTCTGGACGGGTTCTTCTCTAATGAAACGTTTCGTCTCTCCTCCAAGAGACTTCTTCAGTCTGAGAGTTT